CCCCAAAACCCCAAAACCCCAAAACCCCAAAACCCCATTTCAGAAAATTTAACTAAAAATATACAATTGTTATGCTAGTAAGCTTCCTCATCGTCTGAGCATACGTATTGTTTCATGTAGTCGTCGTCGGAGCTTTGGGAGTCTAGAAGTGAAGGGGAGGACGTACCTTCGTCCGAGATGTCGGAACCGAAGTTTCCTTTGGGGTATCTGTAGTTTCTAGATGGTGATTAGGACTTTTAGAGGTAATATTGCTGGTCTTATATGAGAGAAATCTTAAAAACTTACACATCGTCTTCGTCAGAATATTGTCCCATACATGCATGAAGCGTATTGCTGTTTGGATTGTTTACATAGGTAAAATCATCCTCATCCTCATCGTCATCTCCTCCATACTCATAATCATCTTGATCAGGCCTATTAGAGTCCTCACTGTCATAATCCTCACTATGGGCATTATCTTGAAAATGATTATTGTTGTAATCTCAAGTTTGATGAGCAGGATTGGCATCTAAAATCTCATAGTAATCATATTCATCATCTGAATTAGCTTGTACTTCAAAAGTTTCCTTGCTGATAACTATTGGCTCTACATTATGTTTCCTATAACAAGAAGTTGGCGATGCTTTCTCTTCCTCCCTCTTCCTTCTAGAAGGATCTAGATCAATTTCTATAGCTTTGGTAAGAGAGGGTTTAAATTTTCCTCTTCCATTCGAGACATTTTCGTTCTTCTCTCTACAACAAATATTATTTAAACTACAACTTACTCATCAAATTCAATGTTTGGCAGATTTCTGTGTTGCATAAATCTCTTTTCTCGAATATTCTTCCTATCTTGGACTAGCTGCTCTTGGTAATCCTTTGCTCGTCCAGTGATAGTAGCGATATCAGTATGAATATTTAAACCAGGTCTTGACACTCTCTTAATCCGTATTTCTCGTCAAATTTGGTCTTTCTGGATAGTCCCATAAAATTCAGTGAGGGCTTTTACAGTTCCTTCAAGACCAGATTCCTCGTTATTTTCATTTTCCGTCTTATTTTCTTCTCTCTTATCCTCAGATACTGCTGTAGGTGTCCCTTCAGAGGAAGGCAGGGTGGATGTTTCTTTATTTTCGGCATCCTCTATATCAGCGATAAATTAGTTCGAAATGTTGGCAATTTACTTATAAGATAGACTTTGTGGTCTGAAGTATTCTTATCAGGTGTTTCAATTGATTTTGGGGTTGGCGCATCTTCCTTTTGAGAAGTAGAATTGAGAGTCATTGCACAGAAATCATCCTGCATTTTATCTGATTCAGTGACAACTCTCTTATAAGTTATCTTCCCATCTTTGTTATATTTTAGAGTGACTTCATGAAGAGGATCTTCAACTTCTTCTCTTTTCCTTTTAATACCAATAAATATCCGTCCATGATGCTTTGAGATTTTTTGTTTGAGTATATTTTTAGATTGAGCAATAAGCTTTCTCTCTGAATTGTTATTTAATCCAGATTCTTTAAGCCTCCTGATGGGCTTCAATTTTGGCCTATTATTTACCTTATTTATGTTATTTGTTTCATCACTTTCTTGCACAATATGATTACTTGCGTTGTTATGCTTGTTATTTTGCTCAATAGATTGCTGAATTTGCTGAAAACCTGGCTCCATTATTAATTATCCAATAATTAGTTAATTTTTAGGGGTTTTGGGGTTTTGGGGTTTTGGGGTTTTGGGG